GAGTTATTAAAGTCTGGTCTATGGCCTCTTTCAAGCATTCTTGCCACTTATCCCCGACCAACACGACGAAGCGGCAAGGACCCTTGGTTGAATAAGGATTCTTCCGGTATTTAAGGTAAGATATTGAGACTATTCACATCGATAAACCATCTAATACATTGCGATAAGTGTTTATTCGGTCCCTTTGAAGGTTTTGCAACTTAGGCGCATATCTGGAGATTTCCAATCCGTCTCAAACCATCTTCCGCGGTTGTATCTCGATCAGGTTTATTTAGGAGGGTATTCCTCTGAGCCGCTACACTGTTCGAGGTCGCGACAAGTATATCAATTCGTGAGGTCACAGGCTGGCAAAAGAACGATTTATATGGTGGATGATTCTTTCAAGAAGCTCGATTCAAGCAACTGCCGACCTCGTTCATACACGGTACAGTCTTCGTGTCTTGGTCTGAAATAGATTACAACCCCCGAGCAATCTCGCCCCGTGGACTTTGGCCGTACTACTCTGGTCCTACAATCATGTGACAAGAGAAATAGCGCCAAGGCTTCCTCGATTCTCTTGGAGAATATAACGACTGTTCCGAGGAGTGTTCCTTACAATACATCTCAAGGCTATCTTCTGTGAGCCGTACCTTTGACCGTATCCAAGATAGTGAACGAAGAATTCCTAAACAAGGATCGATGTGTGCGACTGGGAAACCCGATAAATGCGCTAAGTTGGACCCGTCCAATCTTCTATTGTTTGCGGCCAGGCTCAGCCGTGACTTCCATATTCAGTTATGACATCCAATACACGAGATTGGTCGTCACAAGCATGTCTCTTATACAAGGGAACGCCAAAACCCTAGCCAATATCCATTGACTCTCCATCACCCACCTCGGCATGACCCTCTCGAGTGGCCACCGAGATCTACGCCTGGGGAGGTACCATACAAAGTAGTGAGCTAGAGTACATCGTGACTCCTCCATTTGGTTCCCTCCGCAGAGAAACTGCCCAGAGAGTATTCGACGACAGAGAACAACCCCCGAAGACACCACGATGAGTAGCCTAGCCACACAAACAGCTCACGGTAGTGCATATACGCCAGATATTGGGAAACAGGTGCATGGAAGAGTACGTGGTCGTCTTGAGATACTCTGAATTGGCCTGATAGCCGTGGTTTTCGAAGACCCTCAACGCTATCAGCGACCAATACTACCTGCCTAGTGGTATAGTTATTCTCAACATCTCCCCTAAAATTGCTAATATCGATTCAGATAGTGATGAGTGGAGTAGGCTGTAAGCTATCTTATCGTTGACTGGCTACCGAGTTCTAGCTGACATTCAATTGGATGAAGCAACACACAACATGCTGCAGTGACCCTAGCTTTAGATGGCTTATACCCAGCAAAGGATGTCGTTCAAGCCGTGCTGCAACCTGAAGAAGGGGTTGGTAAGACGATTTTGGACTTAGGTACGTAAATTGAATACCCCGAATGATTCGGCTGACATTGTTCATCGCACCAGGATGTGGCACAGGGATTTGGTAAGGTCACTTATTCCGGAACTGAACACCCATTCATTCTCTATAGGGCAGTAGAGATGGCCAAGCAGTTCCCTCAGGCAGAAGTCGTTGGTGTGGATTTGGCTCCTTGTCCTATCCCAACAGAAAGGCGCCCCAAGAACGTTCACTTTGAGGTCCATGATATCAATACCGGGCTCTCCCGTTTTGAAGGCCAATTCGACATGGTTCATCTTCGGTTCGTTGGTAGCGGCCTGAAGGATTTCGCGCAAAAAATGAAGGATGTCCATTCTTGTCTTAAGCCTGGTGGTATCGTGCTTTGGGTCGATGCAGACTTTGAATTATATTCCACCGATCGATTCGAGAAGCTTGTGCCTGCGACCGATGTCACTCCAGAAGGTTCGTGGCTACAGCGGTTCATGGTCGGTGAGTGACCTCGTTCTTAGAGATACAAGAAGTGTGATCAGAAGTCTAACTCTGAACAGAGGGACGTCGAGCATATCTAGAATTCGGGAGCGATGTCAAAGGGATGGAAAAGGGCATGGATGCGGGCCTTTGGTCGGATCCTATTCTTGATCCGGAAACGTCAGTATACTAAGTAGCACCCAGTAACATACTCACTTGTTCCTTCAGATGCAAGACTGCTAGCCTTTACCTACCAATAGGTACGTATTGGGCCGGACGAATTTATGCGATGCTGAAATCCGAATGCAGGACCTTGGGCCATTATTGGTGAGACACATCATTATTAGATGATCAATCTAGTAATACCAAAAACATCATACAGGGAGAAACATTAACAGCGCCCAAACTTTTTTGTCCATTGGTAGTCTGATGACTCAAAATATCCTGGTCAGTGGTTCTTGTGTTGTTTTTTCGATCATTTACATCTTCAATAGAATGGGTTAGAGACCGCGAGGCCTGCATTTAAGCGAGTCGGATGGGCAGATGGTACCATAGATGCCTGGTCAACCCACGTCTACAATGGCAAGATAAAATTAAACAACGATTCTAAAAAGTACTAACCTGTAATATCTATAGAATGTGCAGAGGTGAAATATAAGCCCTCGTATCGTGTGAGATTGGCGTGGGGTAGGCGCAGAGCCACCGAAGGAGGGTCAGCCCCTCCTCTACCAGCTGCTCCTGCCATGATTGGAAATTCGCTCACCGAAGAAAGGTCATCGCCCAATTCACACGCGCAATATCCGTATTTCTTTGTTTAC